ATACTCAAATGCTGCATCTGTGATCCTGTTGAAAAAGCATTTCCATGTTGACTTAGAAAAAGGAGAGTTTTTCAGATTAAAGAAAATATAATTATACTGTTTATAAGGTTTGTTGTTGTTTTTATCCTATCCTCATGGTATTTGTAAATTGCATCAATTATTGAATATTTTACTGAAGTTTAATATTGAGTTTGAAATATTAGTATCATGACAACCGTACTAATTAACAGTGAGTTCTGGTACAGATAAACAGAATGATGCACTGAAGGTCCAGACCGAAATCCAGTGGAGAATCTGTGGAATAGCTTCAATATTCATTCCACTCCATTCCAAAAAACAATCCTTAGTTAGGACTTACTTTCCAAGTTTGAATATGTTTCTCTTCCCATCCAGGGCTACTGTATAAAACCTCGAAATCAAAGCTATTTCTGATATTTTGAATTGAAAAGCTTCCAGGATGAGAAGCGAAACGTCTTCAAACTTGGAAATAAAGTCCAGTGGATTGTTTTATTTTACTTTTTTTGGAATGACTATGCCCTGGATGACTGAGAACCTTCATCAGCAATAGCTTCAATATTTAAAATGTTTTTTTTTTTGTTTTTGTTTTTTCTTCGGTTCATTAAACTGAAGGTGTTCAGAAAAATGCCCCCCAGGAGATTTACTGCTGTAAGGAGGAGGGATAAATACAAACGCTTCCTGGTTTTCATTTATTAAAACTGCTAAAAGTCGTACATAGTTTTCTTTTTGTCTTGTCTTTCACTAAGTTTAGTTAAAGTTTATGTTTTTTAAAATAAAGATCTGTGCTTAACGTTTTGCAGAATTAGTGGATTGTTTGACAGATTGGTGTCTGTTTTTGGTTCAGGTTGAAGACGTCTTGCTGCAGTGCAGAGACTACCTGGTGAAGAAGATCAGCGCTGAAAACTGCGTCCGCATGATGAGCATCGGCGACCTCTTCAGCTGCAGCGAGTTAAAGCAGAGCGCCAAGCGTATGGTGGAGCACAAGTTCCCCAGGGTTTACCGACAGGAAGCCTTCCTGCAGCTCTCCCACGAGCTCCTCATAGACATCCTGAGCAGCGACAACCTCAACGTGGAGAAGGAGGAGACGGTGCGTGAGGCGGCCATGCTGTGGCTGGAATACAACATGGAGGCGCGCTCCCAGCACCTGTCCTCTGTGCTGAGTCAGATCCGCATCGACGCGTTGTCGGAGGTGACGCAGCGCGCCTGGTTCCAGGGTCTTCCGCCCAACGACAAGTCCGTGGTGGTGCAGGGCCTCTACAAGTCCATGCCCAAGTTCTTCAAGCCTCGTTTAGGCATGACCAAAGAGGAGATGCTGATCTTCATGGAGGCCATGTCGGAGAACCAAGGCGATGTCTACGTCATGCAGATGTCTGTGCCGACCATAGTGTGTTACAGCCCACAGGCCGAGAAGGTGTACAAGCTGTGCAACCCCCCCGGAGACCTGCAGAAGGTGGGGACCCTCGTTACCCCGGACAACGACGTCTACATTGCCGGCGGCCAGATCCCGCTCAAAAACTCGATCGCCAACCACGGCAGGAGCGGGAAGCTACAGGCCGTGTTCCGCTCGGTCGATAGCTTCTTCTGGTTCGACGCGCAGCAGAACGCCTGGGTGCCCAAAACGCCCATGCTGTGCGCCCGCATCAAGCCGTCGCTGGTCTACTGCGACGGCTACATCTATGCAATCGGCGGCGACAACGTGGGAGGAGAGCTGAGCAGGCGCACGGTGGAGCGCTATGACTGCGAAAAGGACGAGTGGACCATGATGAGCCCGTTGCCCTTCGCCTGGAACTGGAGCACCTCGGTGGTGGCTCACGACTGCATCTACGTGATGACCCACGACCTGATGTACTGCTACTTCCCCCGGGCCGACACCTGGGTGGAGATGGCCATGCGCAAGACGAGCCGCTGCTTCGCCTCGGCCGCCGCCTTCGGAGACCTCATCTTCTACATCGGCGGCCTCCACGTGGTCAGCAACTCCGGCATCCGCATGCCGACCAGCACCATCGACGGCTCCTCCCTCACCGTGGAGATCTACGACGTCAACAAAAACGAGTGGCGCTTGGCGGCGAACATCCCGGCCAAGCGCTACTCGGATCCATGCGTGCGGGCCGTGGTGCTGCTCAACTCGCTCTGCATCTTCATGAGAGAGACCGGCATGAACGAGCGCGCCAAGTACGCCATCTACCAGTACGACATGGAGCTGGACCGCTGGTTCCTGCGCCAGCCCGTGTCCGAGCGGGTCCTCTGGGACCTGGGGAAGGACTTCCGCTGCGCCGTCGGCAAACTGTACCCCTCCTGTTTGGAGGAATCTCCATGGAAACCCCCAACATACCTCTTCTCCCCCGACGGAGGCGAGGCATTCGACATTGACGGGGAGCTGATGACCCTCCCCCACGTATAGCTCCTATCTCCCCCCCTCCACAACGTTGCTGAAGCGTGAACATGATGGGAGGGGGGGGTGGCTACTGTAGCGTCTAAAGGGTCTGACGCGAGTTCTGGAGAGGGATCGCCGGACTCGAGGCTCGTACCGTCGAAACAAGCTTTGAGCGAATCGATGCCCCTCGGGGGAGGAAAAAAAAAAACCCGCGACCCGTTTTCCTTTTGGTTCTGTTTTATTATGTCAGTGGTGACATCTGTTAGATTTTTCTGTTGGTCATACTGTTTCTACAATGTGATAATCTCAAACTAATTTGATGGCGAGGAGGAGGATGATGCACTTAACAGGTAAACCTTTAGGTTAACGACGATGGAAACTGAACCAAAATCTCTCCTCTGGAAGGAAATACTCCACAGAAAATCAAAGATTACAAATCTGGATAGAAAATGAAATGCTTTTAAGAGCTTCTCTTTTGAAAGACTTGAGTTTTGATAAATATTTATACAGCTTTAATAAAGTAAAGGGATAAAAGAGAAGCAGTTGGGCTAAAGTTTTTTTTTTGTTTTGTTTTTTTTGGCTCTGGGTCGGTTCACTCCATTTATTCCAATCTGCATTTTGGCGTCTCATTTAAAAGATTCATGGTTCATTTTTTAATGAATTATGTTAAATATCAAATGCATAAAGGAGGAAAACTGCTTTAGGTTCTCTTATAAAGTATATGTCTATCATCCATCTGAAAATAAGGGAGTTTATGCATCAATATTCTCTCCGTAGCTTTGATTTATCAGCTGACTGAAACAATTCAGTCCCTGCCAACTCCCATTTTATACCATCAATATCAACCTCATTTTCTTTCTGTAGGTTAATCTGAACCACAGAAAGATTAAAACTACCGTATTCATCCCCAGAGGGAAGAAAAGTCAAGACGTCAAACAGGATCTAAAAATTTTCTCGTGGGTTGATTATAGTCCAGTTATCGGTAGCATCACAGCTTTTATGTCTCAACATCAATCGGCACTAAACAAAAAACTAAAATGTGTGAACCGGTGTGATCCCCATCATTCATGAAAAGGATGACGGATCATGACCCACATGGCCGTACCTGGAGCATGAGCAGATTATTGCAAAACACGTCCGCTGCCATTTCATCCACCTGTTTTCCACACTTTTAATCATTTCATACCCAACTTGTTCTATGGTTTTAGTCAGTTTTTTTATAGATCAGTGGTCTTAAAGTGTTAAAGTTCCATTGATGGGTGGATTTAATGTTTTATTTGGGGTCGAATCTCATGAAACACCTCCTGACCAATCATGCTGACTCCAATCAAACTCCTGTTGATTGGTGTTTCATTTTAGAAATATTTCAAATAGTTGGTCGACAGATTACAAACTGACCTAAAGCCGACCTAAAACGTCCTTCTAAATGGATCGAAATGAGAATGATTTTAATATCTCTTTAGTAAATTCTTCATTGGTCTGAGCCTCCTAAAACATGGCCGATGACCTTTGATTTTCAGCGGAGTATTCCTGTAAAAACGGGATCATGCATTTCTTCAAAAGGCCTCGCCGATGCCACCGGGTGGGTGGGGGGGGGGGCTGGTTCTGAAGGTCCGAAACAGGTGGAGGAAGTTTGATAAAGAGGGTGGCTGCAGGTCCAGCCACCCCGAGGCCAAGCCCCACCTCTGTCACTCCAGGCTCCGCCCCCTTCTGTGCATCATGCCCGGTCTTCCACACAACCAGCAGTCCACACCTCAGTCTGTCTGTCTGTCGTCACGTGACACTTTGTTTCTCTCTCTGCAACAAACACAACCCCACTCGCAGTACGAACAGGTTCTGGGCTCATGCATTTTTTTTTTATTATTATTTCTAAGCTGCTGAATTATATAAATATATAAAACTATATTTTTCATATGTTTTAAACAGCTGTTTTAGTGTGGAAGGGATGGGGGGGGGTAAACCAGGTCTATTTTGTATTTGTCTTTTTTTTTTTATTTAATATCCAACATTACTGTAGTGTGATTGTGTGTAGATCTTCATCTTATCAATTACTTTTTTTTTCTGGATGAGTACTGAGAAATCTTGCTGCTGATTGGCTGAGAGGAGAGGGCTGGCTCATGGTTTTTTGGCGCTAGATGTCGGGGTGGGTCTTCCCCTTTATCTTTAAAAACATGAGCACAGGTGCCTCATGACGAACCTTACTAGCATGTTTGGCTGCATCATTTTCCTTTGGCACTGTATTTTGGATGAACGTTAATTTATTAAAAAAATATACCAAAAACGTTCTGCAAATAGCCTCCTGTGTCAGTTTGTTTGGAAGAAACTTACTGAGGGTTTACGGAGGGAATTTTGTTCCAATATTTGTGCAGGCAACGAATAAGTTTTGTAAATGGAAAAATGAAAAAAATGCAATCAATAAAAACTTTGAAAAACTAAATAAAAGTTTTTTTTTAATTTTTAATTGTCTTCTCAGATTTTATTTTAATTCACGATATTTCTTTGAAAATATTTTGTTTTCAGATCATATTCTCTTCAACATTACAGACGCTCTCTTGATGCGCATTGAGACCAATATACATGTTGCTAAGGTCCGTACAGACCAACAAAAATGAGTAAATAGAAAATTATATCAAAATCACAGTTGAAAAAAATCCAGTTTGTAAAATTCTATCTGAAAAAGAAATTCAGAAAAAAAAGTAAAACTTTTTAAAATCTTTTTGTGAGATTTGGGCTCTTGGTTTTATTTAGTTTTTTATTTATTTCCATTTAAAAGCGTTTTGTTGTCTTTTAATTTCCATTTACAAAACTTACTTTACTCCATAATGGTTTGGCACCTGGGTGATAATCATTAGTTTGACCTCAGCTGGATTAGTCTGGACTCAGCGGCCTGTAATCAGCAATCACTTGTTCAGAAACTGAAAAATGAAATTTAGTTTCTGATCAGTGAACACACCACAAAGTCAAGACCCGTTACTCTTCATTCAGACAAAGAGAGGAAGAGCAGGATTCTATGCAGACAACAGGAAGGCTGATTAGCTACTTTAAATGCCGAGATATCAAACTTACGGTAAGTTTATTTTAGGCTTCTTCTAAATAAGTTTAGAATTACTTCTTGAGGGAAAAATGAAACCATCAGCGATCTTCGATTAACTGATCAGTCTAAGTAATTATAAGGAGGCTGACCTGGTCTGGAAGTGACCGGGTCAGCAGAAAACAGAAAGTAACTTGGTAATGGAATCAGAAAAACATTTGGTTTTAGTGGCGCCATAAATCGCTCCAGGTTAGCTGATATAGCTTATTTTAACTTTTCACAAAAACAAATGGAAAGAAATTACACAGGTGGATCCAGAAATTTAGTTTTACTGATTTTTTTTTTTTGTGTGGCTACAAACAAGATTTATTGAAACGTATGTTTCCAGGAGCACCAATAGGGTTCGATATGGTCATTCCACTTCTTATTGTGACTCAGAGGTGCATCATAGCGTTCCAGAAAGTAAAAACCTGCCTTTTTTTCCTTCATCCTGTTCCTTTAACAAGGTGATTAGTTTGCATATTGGAGTCAGAAATACAAAAGGTTGAAACTAATCTCTGTACAGTCCTTTTACTTCCAGACATAAATTATCCACCTCTGGCACCACAACATTTTACTTAAATAAGAGCTTAATTTGAGGTGTAATAAACTACTTTTCAGATCAACATACAGCACTTGTTGGGTGTTTTTTTTAAAAGCGTGCATAAATATTAGTTTTAGAGGTTGGGATCATTCACTTTTGAGTCATGTGACCCCAAATACTGCTTTATAGCAGCCATGGCTTCCCTTAGGCACCAGAAATAACTAAACCAAAAGTGTACAAGAGAGACATGACACCTGATCAGACATATGTAGGTTTTAATCTATAGCGGAGGCCTTCAACAGGGGGTCCACGGAGGTTTTGGTTGATTAGACTTTTTTTTTTTTTTATATTCCCCAGTGCAATTTTTTCCACTAATGAAATGTCTTTAAATCCACATTAACATGAATTCAACAGACTGTAGTAAACAGATAAATGGAGGCAGAAGATGTCTTTCAGTCATCAATGCACACATTCAGAGACACACAGGAGCTCTTTCAAGCTGGGCACCATTTCATTCACAACACCTGTCCCATCAACAAGGAATCAGAAATACTTTGATAATCCCAGTGCCAAATTACTTTTGTTGCATGACTCCATCTGTAATAGAGTACAATATATATAATTAGGGGGTCCCCGCTCCATCTTGCCATCAGTTTGGGGGTCCTAGGCCTGGAAAACGTTGAACACCCCTGATTTAAAGGACTGAATATGGTCTTTACAAGTACCTCCATGATTTCCCCATCTGCTGGTCCAAACTGATCTTATTTCTGATTCCAATACAGGGAGGAAGACTAGAGTATCACCACACTGCAGGGTCCAAATTTCAAGGAGCTAAATTTGGATGTTACAGGTCAAGCGCCCTCTGATGGCGAAAAGATGTTCAAAGTTTACAATCAGCCAGACAGTTAAAGGTAGAGTGGAGGGTGTTCTTTTTCCAGGTGGATCATCACAATAATTGGTCCTCCTAATTGTCAATCATTCTGGTGATATGTTTACGTATTTTCACTTACCAATGATAACTCTGTGTGGAAAAGTTGCAAATCTTCTTTTGTAAAGTAAGCTTGTATGAGCTATGAGAACAGCAACTTTTAAACAGAGCATGCACGAGGAGAAATGGGCTTGTGCACGCTCTCGCACTCGTGTAATAAGCGTTCCCTTTCAGGGGCGGGCACAAGGTTGTGCATGTGCATTTTGGAGAGGGCGGGTCTTTAATAAAAATTCTTGAAGATCCTCAACTATACCTTTAAGTGCAAATTCTGGTTTGCAAAACATAGAATAATAGAATTGTGGGGTAATGAAAGTATTTAGTCAACTAAAAGTAGATATACTCACAGGAACATTACTAAACTAAAAGTAGCCTAGTTTTTTGTAGAATTTTACCAAGTAAATATAACCGATTACGACCAACCTCTACCAATATCTTGAATGGATTTTACTTGACCTCCTAGCGCATTTTTTCCTTCCACTCAACTTTTCATAGGTTTGTCTAAAGGCCTTTTGCTAACCAGCATCTTTATATATTATATGTTTTTCTCTTGAATCAGTGAGTGTAGCCCATTTCTCCTTGTGCACGCTGTTTAAAAGTTGCTGTTTGCATCGCTCATACAAGCTTACTTTCCAAAAAAAGATTTGCAATTTTTCCACTATTTAAGACTCACCATTGGTAAGTGAAAATGCGGAAGAGCACGTAGGACGGCCTTACGTCAACGTAACACAAGAATGATTAACAATTAGGAGGACCACTTATTTTAATGATCGACCTGGAAAAAGAACCTTTAAAAAAGAAAAGTTACCTGTAGTAAAATAAAAACATTTAAGGTACTTAAACCCGTTTATAATTCAGTAGCCAGTTAGCAAATCTTTTCAACTATGCTTATTTTAAATTTGAATTATTTATTCACTGTCATAATTATACCTACAGACTCTAATTCATTTATAAATCCCCAATAATATTTAATTACAGGGATAGCTTTAGTTTTGCTTTAAGTTACCATTTCCCCCTCAATGTGCTTCTGTAGCGTCACTCAAATACGCTCTCTATAAACACGCGTCTGCTCACCAAATTGTTCCACTGACCCATTTTAAGACCAAAGTGACAGGAAGTGACCTCTGCTTCCGAAAAATAAAAGTGCAACCTTTATTTATTTTGATACAGCAACATGTTTTATATCTTCCTTCTCCGATACATCAAAAGCATCTCTCCAGAAAATATTTTATGTAATTGAGCTCACAATACATTCAATCGGTTTAATTACAAAATGAAAATGTATCAGAAGATTTAAAAAAAAAAAACCTTAATCAGCACAAGTAATTCAAAAGACTCCAAAACATGAAAACAACACAGTGAACATTTAACATCTATCTGGAAACAAACTGGGCGAGCATGCTCACAGGACTGTTTTTAATTGTACGTTTGCAGCATGGAGGGAACAGATCCTGTAAGCGCTTCAGAAAGGAACAGCTGCACAAGGTAAAGATCCACAAAAAGAGTATAATGGCTGCCTTGTGCAAATATATAAACACAGTGGTCCATTTTCTTTCCAGTGTTATGATACAACATAGATATTTTTCTTCTTGATATAACACGCTACACAACAAATAAATATGTCAGCTGTCGTCAGGCTATTTTAGGTCTCCATGAATCTAGTTCTCCAAATATATATTTATCTAAAAGTAGAAAAGGGTTTGGGAAAGGTTACTGACAGCCTGCAAACACAACCTTCAGAGGTTCCTTTGTGAATAAAGGATGCTTCTGACTCAAAGGACGGACATTTTTCTTCTCAAAGATTTCTGTAGCAGCACTATGGTTGTTTCAGCATTGTTGGATGTTTTAGTAGCAAAAAAAAAAGTCTATTAATTCATTAAGATAGCAACATGTATACAACAAAACATTTTAATCTTAAAAAAAAAAAATCCTCAAAAAGTTTGGAAGAAAAAGTTTTTGTAAATTTCTAGACTTATTTTGCTTTTTAAAAAAAATATTTTTCTGTTTCTACTATAAGAGATAGTAAATACTTTTAATTTAGTATTTATTACTGAGTGGATAAAAGTATTTTTCTACCCTTCATTATGATATCTTTTTGTAAACAGCTAAATGTTATCGTTAAAAAAAAAATACATTTAGATATAAGGTTCAAGAAAATTTTAAAAAAGTAATCTGAGTTGAAAGAATCGATACAGAAATATTAAAATCTACATATTGCTTAATGTGATGGTAAAATACTTGTTAGCTAATTAATTATATATAAGAAAAGCTAAATAATACCCAGTTGGTTACAACAGGCTGCTTTATTAGAAGTGCTGATAACAATGTAGTGTGTATCAAGATTTCTTCATAAGAACAACCAGTGGTCAGAATAAACTATATATAATGTGATAAAATCAACAATAAAATGCTATGGTTGTTCCTGACTCAGTACCTCTGATTACATCTATACTTTTCTTTCATTTGTAAATAAAAAGCAGAAAAATCTTACATTACACTACATAAACTGCTGTTAATTATGCTATTCTACAATTTTTTATTAAAATAAACTAAAATTTGGTCAATATTTATATTTCAATCTATGGGTGATCTCTGAATGTTTTCTCACAAAAATATATTTCACTAGTGAAATATTTTTTGACATTCTGTGAATCTGTTGTGTCCGTTTTTGTTAAGTAGCAACTAAATAAACTTAAATAGTACAACTTATAAGCTCTTGAATTATTTAAACTTAAAATGTACTTTATTATTATTACCGTAAATGAAATGAAAGGAAGTGAAAACTCTGGAATAAAAATAATAAGGTGGCTAAGGCATTTAGCGTTTCAGCTAGCATACTAAATGCTAACTAAATTAGCATAGGTTGCTAAAATGTAAAACCATTTTTTTTCAATATAATTCATTATTAGGTACACAAAAATAGGTATCTTGTAGAAGAATATGATGAAGTGATTTTAGTTTTAAAAAATAGGTTAACTTTCGCCTGAGGAAATAGGTTTTTATTATATTTTATTTTGTTTTGCACCTTACAGACTGCTTGGTGTGTATTTTTTGTTTTTCAATAAGTGAGTTCAGCCTGTTGTCCCTAAATTTTCTTACAGTAATTATTATTTTTATCTGAAATAGTATTTCCAAACAATAACTATAATATCCAGTACATCAGGAAACTTGTTGTCCTAAATAAAACCGTTAGCATTGGTGTCAGTTTTTGCTAGCCATCAAAAAAAGGGGGAAGCTAATATTTGGATAATTAAAGCAAACAGTTCAGATTTTTAGAGCCTAACACGTATTAACTATGTTTTAATTAACTTTAAATTGAGTTGCAAAGTAATATAAAAGACAGATAGATAAAATTGGAAATGATTTACCTAAAATTATTGATTTTGGCTTAATTATTTGATTAAAAGAATGACCAAGTAAAAAAAAAAAAATAGGGAAAACTCTGGGAGAGAATATATATATTAGAAAATCTACTTTATGTGGAGATTTAACATTTTAGTTTAATTTCCCCAAGCTAAAAAAAACAAAACATAAAAAACATGTTAAATTTAGGAAGAAAAATGGTTAGCATTTGAAAGTTAGCCAAAAATATTTTTGAGCAAATAAACCTTTTTTCTTATATCTACTAACTGATTCATATTTAGAACTTGCTACATAAAAAAATAGCTTAACTATTCAACATTTTAGCCAGAGAACTAATGCTAATGATAGCTAACCCTAACTCTTTTTTTATTCAACACTGAATGTATTAAATGTTTGCTGAAAGAGTGAAATATGGTTATATATAGGAAATCTGCTAATTTATGTTTTTTTTTTTTATTTCTAATCTTTGCCCCATTTCTTATAATTAGTCTAAGAGGAGAAAAATTGTATTGATATCCGAGTTTGCCTAAATCAAAATTGTTTAAATAAAATCTTAATATTTTTATTGATAAACTTGTTTAAACTCCTTTATTCTCCGAGTGTCAGTAACTTTTTAGTTTCGCAGAAATCTTATCTGTTTAGCCCCTTTTTTTATCTGGTTACATAATGAATCTATTATAAACATTAAACATTACACTAATATTTTATAAAAATTCACTTCACTAAAACAACCACAGTGTTACAACAGAAACAATGACAGACATCCTGAGCCAAAAAAACAACTATTCTCTCTAAAAATGTAGACTTCTTTAAGAATCCTGCTTCCAAGGCATTTTAAATTATTTTGCAGCATATTATTGAAAAGCTGTAAAGTATGAATCCACAAAAGTGAAATCGGCAAACTCAAACCCAGCCTTTAAATCCCCTATTCAGCATCACCAACTGCAGCATTGAGCAGCTGTCCATTTTAAAAGAAACCCTCTAATGTCTTAGTTTGGTTTTTGCATCCAAAGCAGTGATTATGGGATGTAGAGTAAACTTGCTGCCTTCTTTGCTGTAGTTTCATCCAATTAAAACAATGCTGCTGAACACAGCCCAGGATCTGCTGGCTGAGGTGGGACACCGCCGGGGTTTTATGGTTGAGTGATTGTTTGTCTGCTTGATTCCTTCATCTGTCATTCCACCGATGCTAAGGCTTCACAGTCAGAGGGTTAAGGGGACAGGAAGAGTCACTGGGGCATTTGTGGACACCGACTGTCATGGCTTCACCTCAGTGGCAGGTTCAGGATCGGAGGTTGTGGTTACCGGTGCAGGTTGAGCCAGCGTGGAGAACCAGGAGGACATGGCAGACTTGGCGCTCGTCAAGGCTCCACCAACCGACTGACCTGATGGGCAGGAACGTTTTCTCTCAGACACGGCCCTCTGATTCTACACACCTTAAAATGCACTAGTGTTTCTTACCCACTGCCTTCCCAGTCTGGACCATACTGCGACTGGTTGTGATCATGGCGTTTCCGATCTTCTT